CTTGGCTCTGGAGACTGTGGGGAGAGCATCCCACCCACCTGTGACCATCTGCCAGGCCCTGGGGACAAAGCTGATGCCACCTGCCACCAGGGTTGGCTCAGGCGTTTACATGCGTCTCCAGTTGTCATGGAGCTTGGGACACACGGACCCAAGGAGGTATTTTAAAAGGACAAGTGTCTTGTATAATCCAGCCCCACTGTCCCTGAACGCGATGCCCCTTCCCCGAGCCTGGAGGCTGTACACAGGTCGCTCCCCAGCGTCTTCAGTCTCCTTCCTGTGGCATCGCCCAGGATGTTAACACAGGTGTTAGGACAGGTGCCTCCTTGTTCTGTGTGTGTAGCATCGGCCTGGGGGCACTTTGGGGTGAGGGGTGGCTGCAGGTCAGACATACCTGGGAAGGTCCCGTGGGATGTGGTGGCTCCCAGCCAGGAGCAGCTGCCCTGGGCGCTTGTGACATCCCAGTGGTTTAGGACTGGGGTGCTCTTGCTGTTTAGTGGGTGGGGCCGGGGAGCCCAGTCATCCTGCGAGATGGAGGTGCTCTTCCGTGAACGCCGGTAGTACCCGCAAGAGAAGTTCTTGAACCGAAGCTGTAGGCAGGACCACGCCAGGGGAGGAGGGAGCTCAGGGGAGGGGGCACCGCTCTGCGCCGTGCCAGGGGCTGGGATGGGAGGATGGGCAGATGGTGGTGACCAAACGCCAGCAGGCAGGCAGGTCACTCGAGACGCGCCCGTCCTTCAGCGGGTGCACAGATGCGGCTCTGAGCTGTCTTTCAGGGAGCTGAACTTGGCTGAGGAGGTGCTTACATCTCCATCACTGCACGCCTGTAACCAGGATTCAGCATTTCTGCTTACTCCAAACGATGGTGTTCGGGACCTGGGCTTGGCCCACAGGAGACACCAAGGCTGCCGGTGCCCTCCACGTTCGCAGCCGATGGCATGGAAACCGCGTGCTCTTAACGTGACTCTGAGTCGCAGTCAGTCTGGGGCCTGTTGCCGCCCTTGTGAAGCCGCTTCCCGGGAAGCACGTGTGTTGCCACCTTGATGTTTGTTGTGTCATATTTTGGTAACTCCTCTGTGGCAGGTGCTTCCCCCGTGGTCCTCTGTGCGGTTGTACGCTTCAGAAACAAGCATCATCCTGAGAAAGCGTCTGCAGGCTTCGCCAGCGGGCGAGGGGGCTTGCGGCACTGAGAAGGTCAGGCCTGCCTGAGCAGCATGTCGGCCCTGAAGCAGAAAAGGAGAGGCTTGGGTTGGGCCCAGCGTGTTTGCACCCGGGAGGGCCTGCCGGGGCCAAGGGTCCGACATGGGGGGATGCGGTGGGGGGCCCCCAGGCACCTCGGACTGAGTAAGGAACTGGACCATCTGCCTGCTGTGTGACGGATAGAGACACATCCCCGGTCCTCTGCATGATTCTTCTGTGAGCTCCTGCTGGGTGCTGAGTGCTGCCCTTGGTGCTGACACCCAACCACAGACAGGCACTTGCTCTCTAGATGCGGTTAGCGTAGGCAGGGCATGTATGAGAGGGTCCACGTAAGCCGTGCCCCTGCGCAGCCACCGTGAGTGCGTAGCGTGTGTGACTTACAGGGAAAGGGCCACGACATGCGTGAATCTAAGCGTCGGCACGTGAGGTTTGCAGCCACTCACCCACTGGAGTCACGTGAGCCCTGAGGGCCAAACCCTGAAGGTCCCTCCCTGCCTGGGGACTGGCCCAGCTTTGCCCCTCTTGCCACGGCCATCCATTGCCCTGTCCTTGGCCCCCCATGCTGCCTTACGGGACCGGGGCTGTGTACCCGGGGCTCCTCCCCAACCCCAGGAGCCTGAAGCATCTGGGGCCTGGAGCATCGGGAACTGGCTTATTGAAAGAACCAGAGAGGAGACTTGGGGAGCAGATAGGAAGTGCTGGGTTCTCCCGGCCCATGGAGGAGGGCGAGGGGCCGAGGTGGGCAGCCCCGAGCAGTGGGGCTGAGGGCAGAGGGGAGCAGTGGAGCCGAAGGGCTGGGGTCAGAATCTGGGGTGGACTGGTGCCCCAGCCCCAGCATCTCGTCCACAGTGGGAGAAGGGGTGTCCACCCCCAGCCATGTTAGGAGCCCGGCCTGGCATGGCTGAAGCCTTGGGGTCTGGCATCAGAAGGTTCAGGGCTGCCCAGAATGGGTGGGCTTCAACCCCACTTCTGAGTAGCAGAGGCAGTGACTGGGCCAGGCAAAGACAGGGCTGGGGGCTCAGTGGGCAGGGTCTGAGGCTGGACCCCCAAGCCAGGAGGGGCGTGACCAGAGGTCTGTTGGAGTCGAACATAGATGACCCCCATGTTCGTTCCTCCATTGAGCAGAGATCCCTCGAGCTGGGCCCTGCCACAGGGGCTGTTCTGGGCACTGGGACACAGCCAAGTCCCTGTCCTCCCTCCGCGACTTTGTGTGGCTGGGGCCACTTTGGTGGTCATTTGGGAAGGTCCGGAAGGCTTGGCTGTGAGGCGGGGGTGGCAGGGCCGCTCTGAGGCCAGTGCAGAGCCGGCAGTGGAGGGGAGGGCGTGTGGGTGTGCTCACACTGCCTGCACCCCTGTCTGCGTGGACCTCGGGATTCCTAGGGAGGCGGCCTGCTGGGTCTCTGCAGAAAGCCACGCCCTTGGCCAAGGGCTGGCTCTCTTGAAGATCAAGGCTGTTCTTAGCAAAGGGGTGGGTCCTGAGAGGCAGCCAAGGCCGAGGTGGGGGGTCACAGGGGATCAATGGCCGGCTCCACAGTGGCTGTGTGCCCTGGCAGAAGGCCCCACCCTTGCGTGTGCCCCTGGCCCTGCCCCACACTTGCCGCATGCCCCTGGCTGAAGGCTGGCCTGCCCTCTGCCCAACATGTGCCATGTGAGGGCGGCCCACTGAGGCCAGCAGTGGATGAGGGTGCCCTGTGGGGAGGGAGGAAGGCCAGGCTGGGGAGCCAGGGGCCAGATCCACCTGGACGGGAGGCCCTGTCGCCATCACTGGCACAGCTGGGCGTCGCCCCGGGGCCCTCACAGTGTCGGCTCAGCGCTCCCATTCACTGGCTCAGGTGTGAGAAGTTGGAAATGGTAAGAAGAGTTGCTGAGGCCCCCTGGGTGGAACAGACCGTGTCCCCAGGGCTCAGTGACAGTCGGTGGCCCGTGTCTTGGGCCCGCCTTGAGGGTGGCAGCAGGTTTTTAGGAAGAGAGGCAGGAGGGGCTGGAGATGTCAGCCCTGGGTCTGGACAGCCGCCCTCAGAGGGCCCCTCCATTCCCAGGTCACCTGGGCCCCTGGGGGGGGGCTGATTCCTTCCCCCAGGCTGTCTGCCTCCTGGACCTCAGGTGCCTGCCCCAGGCAGTGTCCCCCACCTCTGCCCAGAGCCGTCTCATGAGATCCTGGAGTCCCTCTGCCTGCCAGGCCGAGTCGAGGTGTAGACGGGGCAGAGTCAAGACTCAAGGTTCCCGGGGGTGGAACTCCGAGCCTCGAGAGACCAGCTCCCTTCCCGCAGGTGGCTCTGGGAAATGGGTGGGAGTCAGGGTGGGATGAGCCCAAGTTCCCACCCTCTCCAGGACCCGCAGGGCACACAGGAGGTCAGGGCTCACCTTTGGGGAGCCGGACAGGCAGGCAACGGTCACCTGCTGAGACTCTCCCTGGGTGGGAGAGTCCTCGATGATGGGCTGTGTGACCCACAGTGTAGCCGCCAGGTATCCCCCCCACAGCGTGGCCTTGCAGGGCCCGGCCCGGCTGCCTCAGGCCCAGCTAGGTTTCCACAGCGCCTGGCCAGTGACGGGACAGTCAGGCCAGCAAGGGTAGCCGGGCCTGACCCTGATTTTGCAAAAGTGGCCTCATCTCCGTACCTGGACTTGGGGTCCCCGGGTGCCAAGCCTGGGCTTCTCATTTGCTCCCCTTCAGTGAGGACGGGCGGGAGGGCTGGCACTCAGGCCAGTGGAAGGAGATTTGCATTAGGCCCAGGGCTGAGGAGACCTGGGGGGAAGCCGCCTAACCTCTGTGAGCCTCAGTCGTTCCATCTGTAAGTTGGGTGTGGTCCTGTCTACCTGTTAATTGAGATGGTGCTGATTTTGGAAGAAAAACCCCTCGCTCTCCAAGGAGGCTGGGGGCAGTGCAGAGTTGAAACTGGCTTAACACGCACCGTAACCTCCTGCTGCCAGCCTGGACGGGGTCTGAGACCCGAGGCGGGGAGCCGGGGACGCATGGGTGCGGAGGGGTGGGGAGGCCTGTGTGATTCAGGCAGCATCCCCCCCCACCCTGCAAAGGGCTTCGGGATTTAGCAGATGCAAAGGCAGGACACCAGGTACGTGGGAATTTCAGGTAGACCTTGAATCATTTTGTAGTGTAGGGTGTCCTAAATATTTAAATTTCAAATAAGTAACATAAATGTTTACAGCAAATATGGTCTACATACTTAGTGTAATATGCACCAGATATTTTCGGGGGACAGAGTTGTTTGCTTTTTGTGGCAAAGCATGCGCAACATAATTTACCATTTTAACCATTGTTAAGAGTTCAGTCCATTCACACTACTGTGCGGCCGTCACCCCCGTCCAGCTCCAGGACGTTTTCATCTTGTGAAACTGAAGCTGTGTAGGGCTGAGGGCCCCACAGGGTCGTGGGGTGAGCCTTATGCTCTGCTGAGGTGCAGGATCCAAGCAAGAGACAGGACACAGAAGTGCAAGGAAAACGCAGCTGGGCTCGGGGGGCCACGCCACCTATGAGCGGAGTCAGGCGAGGCCCCGAATGTCCAGAAGCGTGAGTATTTATTGTGTGTAGGTTAGGGGGCAGGGCAGTGAGTGAAGTCATCTTTAAGGATAGTGATAGGGTCGTGAGCAATAAAACATGGGGTCCATCCCCATTAGGTCACCTAGGCCGGGAGGTGGACAGTGCACAGCAAGGGGGCCGTTCCCATTATAAAGGATTGTATAAAAAGAAATAACTGAGTAGTAACACTGTGAACTGGGATAATCTTCAGGTCTTAATTGTGCCAGGATTCTCCTTAGCTCTCCTTCCTCAATACCTAGCATTAAACAGCCCCTCCCCACTGCCCCCCTCCAGCGCCCCGGTGCCCGCCATCCTTTCTGTCTCTGAACCCCAGGGACCTCACGTAAGTGGAGTCCTGCATGTGCGTCCTGTGTCTGGCTTCTTTCAGCGTCGTGTCATCAAGGTTCCTCCATGCAGGAGCGGGTGTCAGATTTCTCCCTTTTCACGTTTTCATCGTATTCTGCCGTCTGCACCTGCAGACGGTTTGTGGAAACAGTCTCTCCCACTGTAAGGAGACGTCACATCCCCTCTCTGGCCCTGGTGAATGAATGATGCTGTGAGCACGGGTGTACCGGGACCTGTTCCGTTCCGGCTTGCAGTTCTCTGGGGCCAAACATTTTTATACTGTACTAAAAAAACAATTCACTGTTGATCTGAATTGAGATGTAATTGGCCTCTGTGCTGTATCTGCGCCCGCCCCCTCATCATGCCTGCGGGGCAGGGCAGGGCAGAAGCTCCAGCCCACACACCTGCCACACCTGGGTAGCCGCCTGCCCACTCATCATAGCCCCAGGGAGACACCCTCCTGGGACCGCCCAGACGTCTCTGGGCTCAGCAGGGCTTGTCAGCTCCTGCTTCACCCTCTGCCTGCAGCTCAGGGGTTCCCCTGGGATGGGAATTGGCAGGCTGCGGGGTAGGGGAGGCGAGGCCAGGCTGCCCTCGTGCTGGGCCCCGTGCTGCTGCTCCTAGCCTTGTGACCTTGGGCAGGTCACTTTTGTTCCCTGTCAGCTGTCAGCCGGACCCACAGCTGCTGTGAAGACGAAATGACTCGGCCAAAACCCCTGAGAGGCCCGCAATGAGCTCTGCGTGTATAGGGAGACAGCTGGGCCTCTGGGAACAGGGAGCCCTCACTGGGTGTGACCTCCCCCTCAGGGCCCGCCCCCCCCAGCCCTGCGCTGCCTCTAAGGAGGTGCTGGCTAGGGGGGCTCGTGGGCCATGTTGGCAGAGGGGCTTTTTCCCTCCAATGCCAACACTGGGCAGATTCCCCCTGACCTTATTCAGTACCAGGGTACCAGGGCCAGCCTAGGCAGTGGGTCGGGAGGCAGGAGCAAGGGAGTGGAGGCTCCCCTGGCAGAGGTTCCCTCTGGAGGAGCAGGGCTTATTGGGACTGGAGGCCAGAGGCTAGGGAGGCTTCCCGGGGGAGGTGAGGGGAGAGCATGTGAGATGGGGGGAAGCAGCAGGTCATAGCTGGGTGGGGGAGACAGGGAGAGCCAGGCCTGGAGCCGCCATGGCCCACGGAGATGGCTTACTGGGAAGTGGCTGGGTCGGGGGTGAGTGGCCGAGCCCCTCTGCTCCCTCCCCTTCCTCGGTTCCTTCCCCAGTATTTACGGGCCATCCCTCGTGTCGGGCTCTTTCCAATGGCAACCAGGGGTCTGCTCTGGGATCTGGCCCAGCCTCAGCTGTGTGTGTGTCTCTGCCTGGTTGGCATTCACAGGGCAGACGGACAGGCCTGCGTGGCATCTTTGTGGATCAGAAAGTGGCTGCATCGTCCCCTTCTGTGGTTCCAGGATGGCCCCTGTGGATACAGCAGATGGGGAGGGCCAGTCCATCTTCCAGGTCTCCTTGGGTGCCTGTGGCCCCTGCAGTGGGTGTGTGGGAAGCTAGATGGGAGAGCCCCAGGAGGGCAGCCCCGCCCTCACACAGCCACCTGAATTTCCACCCTGCTGGCAGCGTTGAACAGGGAGGCGAATGCCCTCTTCAGCTCCACCAAGCCACGGAGGAGAAAGCAGGTGGAGCCAGGCCTGGCGGCACAGCCTCTGGGGAGCACCTCACCCTGGGTTCCAAGAGTGGCCTTTCTGCCTTGCAGCCAAGACCCCAGGTCCTGGGTGTGGCAGGAGGTTTGTGACACAAACTCCGAATCCCTTTCATCCCCAGCGTCTGAGGCCATAGCATAAGCCTCAATGGAGCAGGCTGGCATAGGGGGAGGTTCTTGGCCAGAATGACCAAGATCCCAGGGCAGGCACCCCCAAGACCTGGTGTCGGCTGGCAGGGGTTCCCCAGGCAGGAGCCGGGCAGCTTAGAGAGCAGCCTTGTGAGGTGCCTGGTGAAAGAGACCCCCACCTTCGGGGGCCTCCGGTGCTGTGGCAGCCTGTCCAGCAGGTCTCAGAGTGCCCGAGAGGCCCGAGTGCTGCCAGAGCCGTCCTGGTGTGAGTGGGTGGTTTTGTCTGGCTGGGCCAGCGGGCCTGGGGGGGTAGGGAGCTGGGCTGGGCCAGTGGGAGCCACGCAGGACCTGGGCTGCAGGGAGGGGAGGATGTTGCCGGCGGAGCTGCCCGTCTGGTGTCCGAGGAGGGTGGAGAGAGGTACGGAGCCTAGACCTCACAGGCTGGGGCCCCTGGGTGGGGCGTGGTGGGAGGATGCAGCCGCCGGCTTTGGTATGTCAGAGGAAAGCAGGTCAGGACGTGGGGTCTGGGTCAGTCACGGCCTGGGTGCTATTGGACTGGGGGCTGGGGGCGCAGGTGGAAGGTGTGGGATGCCCACGCGGCTTTGAGTGAAAACAGCGGCGGGGGTCTGGTGGTCAGCGGCCACCTCCATCACAGAAACCGTCACCCTCCCGGAAGGCGCCCCAGCTTCTCTGAGCGCCAGCCCTGCTGAGATGAGACCCAGGCGCCCCTACACCCAGGCCTGGGCCGCGTAGCTGCGGGCAGTGGAGGAGCCGGGAGGCCGGGGCTGCCGGCGAAGACGGGGAGCGGCACCTGCAGCGCAGCGCGCGGGGAGGCGGCGCGGACCGGGCCGGAGGGGCCGGGGCGGCAGCCCGCGGTTTCCAGGGAGATGGGGGCGGCGCCGAGCGCGGCGGGGCGGGCGGGGGCTGCGGGCGGACGCTCGTCCCCGCGCCGGGAGCCGCCCTCGGCCGTGCGCGCCAGTGCGGGTGTGGAGCTGCCCGGGCGGCTGCGCCCGAGTCTCCCGCCGGCTCCTCCCGCGAACCCTCCTGCCCGGCCCCGCTCCGCCGCCCTCCCCGGTCCGGGCACCTGCAGCCGCCGCCGCCGCCGCCGCCGCGAAGGGGTCCCGCGCCCGCCGCGCTGGAAGCCAGGCCGGAGGACCTGCCCGCCGCGCCCCCGTCCCGCATCCCCGGTCCCCGCCGACCCCGTCCCGTCCTGCCCCCGGGCCACCGCGCCCCGTCCTCCCCTCCGCTCTGCCGGGTCCCCATCCTGCCCCTCCCGTTGGGAGCCCGCGGCCCATGCCCGTCTCCACCCGGTCCGTCGCCACAGCTGCGCCCACCCGGCCCTTCCCGGCTCCCGCCGCAGCCCCCCTTCCTCCTAATCCGCCAGGCCCCTCCCCCTCCTCGGCTGCCGCAGCCCCTGCGAGCCCCCCCCCGCCTCCGCCACCCGCCCCCGCGCCCGCCGCACCCACTGCGACAAGCCCCTTCCCCACCAATCGCGGCGCCCTCCTCCCCTCGCCGCCGCCGCAGCCCCCGGCCCCCCGCCCGCCCCCTCCTCGCCAGCGCTGCCGCGTGTCCAGACCCCTGCGCGGCCGCTCTGGCTACGCGGCTGGCCGTCCTCGTCCCTGGCTGCGGCGACTGGCAACCGGCATCGGCATCGGGGCGCCCGGCACCCCCACGACGCGGCGAGTGCCGGGAGCCTTTGTTCCGTGGCTGGGCCGCCCTCGCGCCCATCGCCGTGGCCAGCACCCACGGGTGGCGGAGCCTTGGCCGGCCAGGGCCGCGGACCCTCCCACCCCGCGCAGAGGTGTCCCCGCGACTCCCCTCGGTGGCGGGTCGCAGTGCGCGGCGGAGGCTCTGCAGCGGCGAAGGGGCTCCTTGGCGATGCTGTCATTTGGGTGAAATGGTGGTGGGGGCTTCGGGCAGGAGGTGGGGGCGTGGGGAGGGGAGGGAAGCCCGATGGGGCCAGGCTGGGGGCTGTGGATGCCCTTGGCAGGGAGATGAGGTGCAGTGACCTGTCCACCTCGCAGGTGGGGTCGAGGCTGCCTTCGGCTCCAACATCGGGAGCCCAGGTGGACAGGGACTGACCAGAGGCGCAGGCTTTTTAGAGGATGGGGCGAAAATGAGGAAAAGACCCCCTGCAGCCTGGGCGGTGGGTGGTCCCCAGGAAACCTCCTGGGCCATTTGTCCAATGCACCCTCACTTAGGATGCTGCTGGATGGGGTCGGAGAGCAGACGGGGCAGGGGCCAGCTTCCTCAAGAGGGTTCCGGCTTGGGGAAGCCCCCACAGCCATCGGCAAGCCTGGAAGGCCCCATTGCAGGGTGCAGAGCTGGGTAGAGGGCAGGGGCAGGGAGGCCTAGGCTCTTCCTGTGAGTGCTGGGAGGTGGCAGTGCCCTGCACACAGCCCAGCTTCAGCACCGTGGCAGGCAGTGCGGCTGACAAATTCGGGTACCTTAGGCATTTGAGTCTGTTGACACTGAGGATCTAGGACGAGGCTATAAAGGCACGTAGAGCCGGCTTTACAGGCTGCACCTCCTGTGTGAGCCGTGGAAGCTTCTGGAGGGATGGGCGTGGCATGGCGCCATCATCTCTCTGCAGTCTCCTTGGGAGGGCTCTAGGGCCACTGGTCACAGGCAGCTGCTGTCTGGACAAATAAGGTCTGCGTCCATCATTGAGGACGGTGGCCCTTGTCAGGACGAGAGTCTCGGTTAAAGCTTGGGGTGATGGTGCTGATGAGGAAGGGGAGGCTGCTGGGTGGGGACCTGTCAGCAGGGAACGGGAATGCGTGACCTAAAAGGTGTCTAAGCCCAAGGCTGGTGGGGGCTTAGTGAGGAGTAGCAGCATTGGGGGGCCAGGAGCAGTCCGGATCTGGAGGTCTGGAGGGGGGAGACGGACGGGAGTGCAGCTGCCCACGGAGCGAGAGCTCTGCGCTTTAACCAGAGGGCAGGAGCCCCAGATCGGAGGCTCTGGGTTTGGGGGCTGGGCCTGGATGAGAAGTGCTAAAGAGACTCAGGTGGGGGATGGATCTGCCAGGAAACGAATAATGTCCTTCCCCCAAAAGTTGGGGGTACGTGGTGGGGAGGGAATTGTCCCAGTGACAAGGAGGGGAGCGCTGTGGAAGGATGGGTCAGCTATAGCAACTACCGGGGGATCCTAGGAGAAAGGGCTCAGTCTCTGGCCCAGCGGGAACAGGCCTGGCAACCTTGACCCTAACAACTGGAGGGCTAGAGGGAGGGGTGGGCAGGAAGGGCTCCCCTGCCTCCCTGCTGGGGGAAGGGGAGGGGCTGTGGGGACTCACCTTCTAGGTTGGAGAAGGAGAAAGGCTGGGAAGGCAGTATCAGAAGGGAGGTCCAGGAAGCCCAGGGAGAGGGGCAGGGGAGGGTTCCCTCCTGGCCTGAGGCCTCTCCATCCCCAGGTGTTGAGCTGAGAGAAGGAGGGGGCAGCTGGGGGTGGGGAGGGTTAAGATGACAGCCGGACTCTTTCAGATCGCTCTCCAGCCAGGCAGACCCCAGCCCCTGCATTCTTCCGGGGAGGGGGGTGGAGATTGCTTTGCTGGCCTGCAGGGGGACTTTGCAGAGCCCGCCTCTGCCATCTGATGTCCAGGACCAAGACCTGTGGGGCCCAGGCCTGCACTGGGCCTTAGCTCGCAGAAGGATGCCCGCGGGAGGCCGCCTGCCTTTGACTGCCCGTCCAACCCACAGCGGGCCTCAGGGGGCCGCCTCGGCCCAGCCTGCCCGGGGCTCCCAGGCCGGTGCCCAAGCTCTGGCTCCGTGTCTTCACTCCCGTGTTTGTCCGAGGAGGGAGGGAGGGACGGGGGCTGTGCTGGGGCAGCCGGAACAGCGCAGGTCACCGGGCCGGCTGGGCGAGGTGGCCGAGCAGGGCTGGGGGGGCAGCAGGGGAGACTGAGGGGTGGGGGTGGCTGGCAGTGCCAAGGAGCCCCCCAGAATCTGCAGGTAGGGGAGCTTCCCATGTCCCCTGGGTGTTTGGGGCCTCACCTGTCTGCGTCTCTCATCAGCCTCTCCTATCTATCTGCATGGTGGGGGGTGGGGAGTGGGTACACCAGGGACCCCAGGAGGGATGTGGAGGAGCCACCGAGCCACGCCACCCCGCCCATCCTCACTGCCTGGGAGTGCTGGAGCAGTAGTCCCGAGCCTTGGGCCAGTCCACCCGTTGCCTGTGGCCCAGCCAGCCTAGCCTGGGTGCCCTGTCACAGCTGAGCCCAGGGTGGCACCAGGAAGCCTCACCGGGCACCTGCCACACCCTCCCCCAGGCAGGTTTCCCGCCACCAAACGCAGCACCGCCCTGTGTCCGACTGACTGGTGCCCTTCTGGTCTGGTAGCCTGGGTGGGTGCACAGGGCCCCATCACAGCCTACACCCTCAGAGAGACACCTCCTGAGTCTGCTCAGCCTTGCGCAGGCCCCAGGAAAGGACCCAGGGGGCGGTTCCCGCTCTAAATCCCACCCCCAAGGGGGCGGGACTGGGGCCGAAATCCCGTCTGTAAATAAAGCCGCAGAGTGAAGGAAGGTCCCTGGCCAGGGTACCTGTGTCCCAGCTTTCCTGCCTGAGGGCGCCTTCACACCTGTGTGAGGAGTGGGGGAGGGGTGCCCCTTCTCTGCTAGGCACCAGGGCACTCAGAGCCAGGCTGTGTCCTCACCCCAGCTGGCTCCCACAAGGCCGTCCTGGCCTGAGACTGTTTCAGGCTCCCACTGCCCACTCCAGCAGGCATCTGGGGGCAAGGGGGTTCAGGGGTACAGGTGCACTTGCCAAGCCCGCTCTGTCTGCTGCGTAGGAACTGAAGTCCAGGCCCGGGGGTTCCCCGGATATGCAGCCCTTGCGAGGGGGCTCCCGCTCAAGCCGCAGCCCCCTGCATCCAGACATTCCAGAACTCAGACGGGGAAAAGAGGACGAGGAGGGAACCCTCCAGGATAGGACCCCAACTCAAAAAGCCGGGCTGTGGTTGGGGAGGGGCCGCCCTTGCGCCTCCAGCCCCCCTCGCTCTCCCAGGCCCCTCTGACAGCTCATCTCGGTGATGTCACATCAGCAGGCGCAGAGGCTCCCAAGGGGCCAAGTGGCAGCCACCCAAGCCCAGATTCAGGCTCTCTGTTCCCTCCCGCAATCTCAGCCCCTCCCTGGGTGTGTACTTGGGGCTGCGAAAGATCAGCAGACTCAGTCTGACCCAGGCATTTGCTCTCCAGGCAGTTACCTAGGTCCCCACCCCTGATGGCTTCTGGTGGGGAAGGGCTGCCTGGGCCCCAGGCCTGAGGGTGACCCCTTCTTGCAGTGAGGCGTAGGGCGCTGCCCGGGCTCCTCCAGGCCCCACCTGCGATGGGGGCCGCAGATGACCAGTCCCACCGCCACGCAGGGCTGCCCCTCCCGTGGTGCTGCCAGGTCCCCAGGACGGCCTCGGCCCAGCCTGACCTGCCCCTCCTCCCAGGCCTGGCCTTCCCTTCCGGCTGACCCCCAGGCAGGGGTAGAAGCCACCTGGGCCAGGGTCCCAGGATGGGATGGGGCAGGCTCTCAGGCCTCAGCCCTGGCCCGAGGCAGCAGTCCTGAGGAATGTTTCTGGAATTCCTGCTGACTCCCCCTTGGCCCTCCCCTCTGACCAAGCCAGGCTTCTGCCTC